AGAGTGATAGATGTAGATAAACTAACGTAACCAACTGGGGAAAGCTGTCGTTTCGACAATCCAGCCCGGGACAAATTCATTCAGAGCACTCACCATTACCATTTAGGCCAGGAATCAAACGTTTCGGTGGGAGATGACATGGGAAAGAGGAGTTTTAGAGGAGTTTTACATTACGAGCACTATACTCATACGTATGAATACAGACAATTTTGTTGTTCGCTGCGTTTTAAGTCAGAGTACACATGCAAATCAAAACTACGTGTAAATATACAATAATAAACACGCTGAAAAAAAAACCCAGATTATTTACAGTATGTGGTTGCTGGTTATTTTTATCACTGCAATATTTCCTTGGAAATTGCAGTGCCTATAAATCTTGTTAGAGTTTTCGTTTGGTCGATTTCTTTTCGCGATGGCTGCGTCATCAAGCACACGAAGCTGTGTTCAGATTCTTCACATATCTTGTATACAGCCGTTTGCTGAAAGGTTGTAGGAAAAAAGGAGAAAGCGCACGAGACAATCTCCAAAGATAATCTTGGTATTTGGCAATCAATTAATTTTTAGGAGGTGAAGCAAACAGATAGGGGCAAAAAGACTTATAAACATGAGATAAATACTTACACGTCGTGAATACGAGGGGAAAACAGTAGAAAGGCTATAGTACGTTATTAACATTTTGTCTTCAGAATCAGTTCCTTCTGTTTTTCGTTTTCCATCAAGTTTAGAATTAAACGTCATTCTTACGAACAAAAGCCGCTATGACTTGTCCTTATAGTGATGTTTTCCCAGATTTCCCTGATATCCTGAGGTCAAGGAGCCGTGACCAAAAAACTACCAAAAATGGCTTTCGGGTTTGTCGCGTGTACAGCGCTTTTCCGACGGCCTTTTTGTAAACAGTTGTATGGAGCTCGGGCAACTTCTTGGGTGTTACTTAATTGTGAATCTGTAGGAACCTCCGGAACCTGCAGAGTCCTTTTTTTTTTTTCTTGTAAAAGAATAGTTATGAAATAAAATAAAAACTAAAAGGACCTCAACACTGTTTCAAAGTTCGTTTCGTGAATAAAGAAGAGTACTTTAAAAGAAAAATATGTTTTAAATTTCCTTGACGTTCAACTTTAACTGTGGCGACATTCACCGTATAATTTAAAAGCACTAACGGTTTGGGTACCGCGATATCTGAGTAACGCCTCATCCGAAGGCTCTCAGCAAACCATTAAACTGGAATTGGCAGCTTTAATTTCATTTCATTGTACATGACGCTGGAACGAGGACCACGGAAAGTAACATCATTGCCTCTGATACATTGTTATGGCAAAAACTACTGCCATATTGCTTTCTGTGTGTATTGCGTTTACGTGTTAATTACCTGCGAATGTTTTTACGTTTCATATCAGGGGCAGCCCAAGCTCCAGCTGTGAGATGATCATCTTGCGTAACAAGAGTAATGGCAAAAATATAAGAGTTTGTACAGGAATATTTACAACCGCTCTTAGAAATAAAAAAATTCAGTCAAATTCTCAATAAAAATACCTCTCTATACTTTCGTAGAGCATTGCTTGTTGTCTGACCGCTTACATGTTTGCTGCGAGGCCTTTTTTAGCGAGTTATCCATTTCTCGGTTTACTGCAAACCAAGAAATGGATAACACGCCAAAATGGCCTGTTGCAACAAAGTAAGCAGTCATACAACGAGCGATGCTCTGTAAAAGTAAGGTGAGGTATTTTTATTGAGAATTTGACCGAATATTTTCATTGCTAAGATTCACCTTCTGTGAATATTCACAGAGCTGTGTCGGAGCTTAGTTTTCAGTGACTGCAC